TACCCTCAATACTCTTCTCCAGCACCACAGCTCAAAGACATCAATTCTCCTTCTATCCTCCTTAGTCATTGTCCAACTCTCTGATGCATAACAAGTGATTTCAAAGACCATGGCCTATATCAGTCTCCACAGAGACACCATGGTATATAGGAAGGTAATATAGAATATAGGGTGTGCTAGTGCCTCAGAAAACCCTGTGAACCTGGAGAGAGGACGAAAGGCACCCAAACATCGAGGACTCTCCTTCACAGGGTTGCTATGAGTAGCCTGCGACTCGACAGCACTTAACAACAACAGTGGCCTAATGGCAAGAGCTCCGTTGCAATCTGGAACGCATGTGGTTCCGGTGCACCAGGTGCTCCACATTTTTCCCTTGCAGAACTGGATTCTCTATGTCATTGGAGCTACCCCAGCTGTCCCACTCTGTACCACTTAAGCTAAATGTGTACTGTGTGGCATAGCAAAACAGCAGTGATCCCATCCAAGGTACCTGAATGGGTGGTAGAAGGTTGGGCAGTCTCTTCCTGTGGAATTAACTGCCTCTGAAAACCTGCCGGTAGATCAGCTATAACTCGGTTCCAACTTGATGGCACACACAACAATATATAGAACATAAGGAGCTCTGGTGACCTCATGGTAAGAAGTTGTACTACAATTGCAAAGGCACATGGTTCAAATTCACCAGCTGCTCTGTGGGAGGACAGCCAACCTCCTCCTTTGTGATTTACTGCTTCTAAACACCCACTGGAGAGTCAGCTATGGGTGAATTCCAATTCGACAGCATGCAACTACTAGATATACCAGTATTGGGAAGACAGGCCATGATTCTGCTCAGTGGTCACATCAGAAACACGATTAACTGTGCTTAAAGCTGACTCCACACGTTGGAATCTCCCACTGTGGCCTCAGCTTTCACTTTTCCTAATGCACTGACTTTCTTTAGCTGAGCTGCATGTCTCTTGACATCCTTAAAATTTGCAAGCAGCTAAATGGCTTTTTTCAATTTTTATATTCCCCCCCCCCACCACCCAGTTTCCTCTTGAGGACAGTAGCTCCCTCTTCCCTTGCCTTTTTTCTCAAAGACTTGGATTAGGAATGCTGGGTGATGTCATGCAAATAGCCTCCCTGGGATGAAATGGGTGGGAGAAATGGAAACATTTAGAAAAATGCTATAAGCAATAGAAAGATGAGAGACCTTTCATTATTAGCTGTGCTCAGTTTCTCTGCATTATTATTCTGGACTTAAAGTCTCTAGACTTAAATTTGGATCCGTATTCTACACTACTACTCTTTGATAGGGTATCCTACACATGTTCCTTTTTTATTATTATTAATTTCAATGAACATTTACAGAGATTTTGAATTTCCATTCATTCATTGTTGCACCCTACACATGTTCTTAATTCTCTGGACGCTCAGTTTCCAAACTTGCAATGTTGACATACTGAAGCTGAAGAGCCTATGTACAAAATAAATAACATTATAATTGGAAACTGGATAAACCTCAGTGCCTCTAGTCATCATTCTGCTGTTGTTGTAAATGCTTACTCAGTAGTAACTATCACCACTACCATTATAATTTGAGGAAATCTGCATATATATATATATCCATATTTTTAATATTTAATATTTTAATGTTACACTGGTGGCCTAATGGCAAGAAGCTGTGCTGCAATCCCAGAGGCACACAGTTCAAATCCACCAGCTGCTCCGCAGGAGGATGATGGGTAACCTCCTCCCATGTGATTAACTGCTTCTGAAAATCTGCCAGAGGGTCAGCTATGGGACTGCTCTAAATGGACAGTGTACAACAGCAACAACATTCATTAATAGATTTGTTTGGTTGGTGGTTTGGTGTGTTTTTTTCAAGAAGATCATTTAATATTTTTTAAAATGTTGATCTCAGCTATCCTTTTAGTAGATGTATGGGTTTCTGCTGGCACTACCTGATTTTTACATTATCTCAACTTTTCATTATTTTTAATTGTTTTATCCCTAGGATTCTCATAGAAGATCTTCAGAAAACACTGGATAAAGGAAGCAGCTTGCAGACCCGGAGAAATCGAAGATCTGTTCCTGGATATAATTATGAAGTTTATCATTCCTTAGAGGAAGTATGTAATCAAAGAAATTTTGTGTGTGTAGTTTGATATTGCTGGTGAGGTTTTTCTTTTTTCTCACAAGCATATATTTTCCATTTGGGAATAAGTACTGGCAAGGGTAAAGGGGCTCTGTGAAGAACACATTTAGCTACAGTTGGAATTCACCAGCCATTCTGCAATGAGATAGGATGCTCTGTCAAGTTTTACAGCCTCAAAAACTCAATAGAGGGACATCATTGAGTCAGAATTGACTCTCTCATTAAACTTTGTATTGCGATATGTAAGTAGCAGCAAGATAATTTTAATTTCACCTGCTTTGCTCACCGTTATAAAGAGCATGAAAAGTGAAAGAATGAGATAAGGTTCTGATAATTGTAATTGTAAATATACTTTTTTGGAAAGGCCATGGAAGTCAGAAGAAAACTGATAGAACTAATAGAGAAATGCAGCAAAGTTTAAGTCAACAAGCAAAAAGAAAAATCAGATGGGTTTCTATATACCAACACTGAAAAATCTGAAAGGGAGATTAAGAAAATTATTTCATTTACAATAGCACTTAAAATAACAAAAAAATCTAGGAATAAATCTAACCAGGGATTTGAAGGACTTATAAAATAAATGCTATAAAAAATTGCTTAGAGAGTGAATTAGAGTTAAACACATGGGAAGATCTTAGATGTTTATAGATCTGAAAACTTAATATTGTTAAAACATCAAAAATAAAGTTATCTACAGATTTAGTGCCATTTTAATATTACAACAGCCTTCTTTACAGAGATAGAAAAATCAAATCTTAATTTTATATGGAACAGCAAGAGGCCCTGGATAGCTAAAACAATGTCAAAAGGTATAAGCATCTTATACAGATACAGTAATCTAAACAGGCTGTTGTTCTTGTTGTTGTTGTTAGGTGTCATTGAGTCAAGTATGACTCATAGCAACCCGACAAGCAAAAGACCTGACCCGTGCACTATCTTGTGCCATCCTCCTCATCTCTGAGGAACTAGCGTCCATTGTTAAAGTTACCATGTGAGTCCACCTCATGGGGAATGTGGAGTCTTCCTCTCGTCTGCTGACACTCCATCTTTCCAAGCATGAAGCCCCTTTCCAAGGAATAGCCTCATCTAGCTACACGTCCAAAGTATAAAAGATGAAGCTTTGCCATCTTTGTTTACAATGAGCACTCTGGCTGCACTTCTTCTAAGGTATATGTTTGTTCTTATGGAAGTCCATGGGATATTCAGTACTCTTCTCCAACTCCACAACTCAAAAGTATCACTTCTTCTTCTGTCATCCTTATTCATCGTCTAGCTCTTACAACCTTTTCACTTTCAGCAAGCGAGGTTATACTGGTATAATACACATGTAAACCAATAAAATATAATTGAAAGTCAGAAATAAACTCACATATCTATGGTTGATTTTTTTTCCTGAGGGTGTTGAGACCATTTAATAGAGGAAAAAAGTTTCTCCAACAAATGATACTAAGAAAATTAGATTTCCACATGATAAAAAATGAAATGGAATCTATGCCTCAAACCACACAAAAGAACAAATTCAAATGAATTAAGGGTCTAAATATATAAATTAAACCATAAAATTCTCAAAAGAATAGCAAGGACAATACTATCGGGCCTACCTTTCAACAATGAATATATGTCTAATATAATACCAAAGACTCAAACAGCAAAAGGCAAAATAAATAAATGAGACTTTAAAAGATGAAGTTTTGTTCATAAAAGATTTTACTAGAAAATGAAAAAGACAACTTACTGACTGAAAGTCTGTTTTATATCTGACACAAACATAATAGCACATATAAAACTTCAACAACTTAATAACCATAAGTCATATAACGAACTCACAAAATGGGCAATGGATTTGAATAGCCATTTCACCAGAGCACATTTGGATAGCCACCAAACACATGAAAAATATCCAGCATCTTTAGTCATCAGAAATTCAAGTCTAAACCATAATGAGGTAACATTTTGCTCCCACTTTTTGTTGTTGTTATGTGTTCTCGAGTCATCATCTGAGACTCATAGCGACCTTATGCACAATAGCTCTGAACTCTGTCCTATTCTGAGCCAATGTCACTATCTCTGACACACCTGTCCCTATTATCCCAGTAACTGTGTCAATATATCTCATCCAGGGTCTTCCTTTCCTGTGCTGTCTTTCTCCAAGGGCTGGTCCCTCCTGGAAAATGTCCAAAATATGTGAGACAGAGTTTCAAAATCCTTGCCTCTAGAGAGCAACTTGATTTCACCTTCTCAAGGCCAGACCTGGTTTGTTCTCTTGGCAGTCTCTTCTCAAGCACAACTCAAAGGCATCATTTCTTCTTCTGTCATTCTTATTCATTGTTCAGCTCTCTGATGCATAGCATGTAATTGTGAAGACCACGGCACACCTTAGTATTTAGATTGACATTTTTGCACATCAGCACTCAGGAAAAGTTCCTGAAAGCGGACTTTCCTAATCCAATTTGCATTTTTATTTTCTCACTGCTGGTTCCAAGAATGTTAATTGTGGACCCAAACGAGTTTAAATTATTGGCAATTTCAACCTCTATTCAGTCTATCAAGGTGCTGCCATTTGGCCCAATGGTGAAAATCTTTGTTTTCTTCATGATAAGCTTCAATCCATATTGAAGACTACAGTCCTTGACTTTTTTGCAGAAGATACTTCAGGTCCTCCTCAGTTTGGGCAAGCAAAATTGTATCATCTGTATAACATGAGTTGTATGGCTAAATTTTTTAAAAGGCAAATGTTTGTATGAATTGTGTTGCCAGTAAGTATGCAAAGTGGTATAGCCATTGTGAGATTCAGTACAGTTGGTCTTGGGAGGGAAAAAAGAAAACAAACCACCAAAACTGAAAATAGAACTTCTTGTTGTTGTTGTTGCTACTGTTGTTGTTGTTGTCATGTGCAGCCAATTTGCCTGTGACTCATAGCAAACCTATAAACAATAGCTCTGAAGCCTGTCCTGTCCTGAGCCAGTCTCACTGACTCCTATATACCTATTCCCATTGCCCTAGTTACTGTATCAATCCATTTCATCCAGGGTCTTCTTCTTTTATGCTGTCACTCCACCTTTCCAAGCATGATGTCAAGGACTGGTCCCTCCTGACGACTTGCCCAAAGTAAGTGAGAGAGAGCTTCAAAGTCCTTGACTTCAAGGAGCAGCCTAGTTTCATCCTCTCCAGGACAAAAATGTTTGTTCCCTTCTTCAGCACCACAAGTCAAAAGCATTGATTCCTCTTCTATCATCTTTAGTCATTATCCAGCTCTCTGATGCATAGAAAGTAATTGCAAAGACTGGTCTGTCAAATATTGCTCTAAAGCTAAGCACCCAAGTTAAGACAGACTAGTGGCCATTCACTTCTGAAATAACAGGCCTTTGAGAAAACCCTATATCCAATAGAGGTTGGGGAAGGTCCTGCAGGAGAGTCACACAGAAAAATGTCCTTGCTATGACCCTGCAATCAACAGCTGCAGGTGTGGCTACAGCCCCTCGAGGTGGGAATAAACCTTGAGAAGTGAAGGGAGAAACAGACACCCTGCCATCTTTCCTGAGCCTATGGCAGAAGTATCTCTGAACCCTGACCAAAGAATAAAGATACCAGCAGGGAACAGTGATGCCCAGCCATTTTTCGATCCCATGGCCATGTGAAATCTGTCCCAAAGCATAGATTTCAGTCTGTCACCCCTGCACAAGGAGCTCCAATATATCAGGGGAGTAGAGATGAAATAGGAGGACAGAGGTGGAGGGAGGTCTGAACCTTCAAACCAGAGTTAGCTGGGGTCTGAGGATGGGAGGTACTGGAGGCACAAGGAGAAGGAGCTGTGTTTGATGCTAACACAATGTGATGAGGGTGGGAACACAACACATGCACCTAAGGGGAGGTCATGCAACCAACACTTGATCTGTTACCAGCATACCCTCGTCTGCTCTTCTGGGTAAAATGCTTGTCTGTCTGCCCACTCCTAGGTAGATACCCAAAATTCTTAGAAGCAGAAACTCGAAATGAGGTCATACCAATGTGCGCGGCAGCATTATTCACAAGATAAAAAAAAAATGTAGAAACAACTACATAGCAATGGATAAATGTAATATATACAGACAATTAAATACTACTCAGCCAGTAGAAAAAACCTGAATCTTGATGGAATATACATGGTACATAAAAGCATTACACTAAGCAAGATAGGACAGTCCTAACATGATACGTTGTTATTTCCCTTCCATAAGGGAGTTCTAGTGGCAGACATAGTCTGTAGAGAGTTGCTCCGCGAAACCAAAGGCTATGCCTCTCTGAAAGTTTGAATCCAGAGCTGGCTTCATGGAAGAAAGCTGGACAATCTCCTCTCACACAATTTATAGCCTCAGAGGGATTGTAACAAAAACAAAACAACTCACTAGAGAGAGTCAGTTGTTGGTGTTCTCATCAGTGAGTGAATTATATAAAAAGAAAAGATAAATGGATAGATACCACAAATTGTCAGTGATTACCACCAGTAAGAAGAAAGGGATAGAGTTAACAGTGATAGAAAATAAGCACTAATTAAAGATAGGGTCACACAGTCAATGAATGTAATTTCTGTCAATAAATTGCACATCTGTAAAAAGGTTTAACTGGAGAATGTTGTGTATTTATAATAATGACCAAAAAAATCATTACTGAAACTGCTTCCATACAATCAAATATCTCATGGGTTCTTTGTTTTGAGTCTTTGTTTCATGGAACATCACATTCAGTTGGTCTGAGAGTGTATTT